GAGCGGTGCGGGGAACAGGCGTCCCAGCCCTGCGCCCGCCCCTGCGGCTTGTGGCCTTTTCTTTCTCTTTTCTTTTGTTTTATTAGGTGCGGAGGATTTTTTCTATTTTTAAATTATTATTTGTTTTTTTTTTACTCCCCACCCCCCCGCCTAATTGGGATCCTTGCAAATCAAAATAAAGCATTTGATGAACCCCAGAATCTCCAAACGCCCGTGACCCCGTGCACGGGAACCTTCCTTGCAAGATGCAGCCTCACGGAGAGCTGTGTGCTAAAGCTCTTGGCACCAGCACCGAGGATTTGCTACAGCAAAGCTCATCAGTGTTCCCAGGAGGGCAAGACCGGCTGCCACTCCGGAGTTAATCTTAAGATTTATGCAATCCACAGGGAACTGTGATTTATACATGGAATTATACTAAGCAGTCTGCCTCTGTGCTTTGAAACTAGTTATGAAATGGCGTGTCCTTTTCTCTTGCAGACTTTCTACTAAGGAGAGAATTCTGATTTGCCAAGAAAGTGCCTTGAAATTTTCCAAGACGGAGAAGACATCTTTGACCTTTTTGATTTACAACATTTTGTTACTAGATGCATTTTATTTTCATATATTTGTCGGACATTCCATATTTGTGTGAAACGTTATTTTATTTTAATGTGTAAATTTGTTGCCTATAGCTCAGACAAGCCAATTATTTAAATACATTGTATATAAAGGATACTAATGATATAACTGATTACATGTTACAACCATATGCAGGGAGCTGGTAAAATTTTGCTGTTTCTCTTGTTCCATTGTATTTACATCGTTCTGCTCAGGCTCTTACTTTCATTATTTGCACTAACTTGAAAACGCAGAAGTCTGTGTAACTGAAATCTGAATAAGCTGTACGTGGGGAAGTTGTACTTGCCATGGAAGATGTTTTATATTTTGAAGCTTTGTTAATATATACGTATATATTATTGCGCATCAGAAGAACTTTGCTCAGAAATGCACCTTGCTTTCAGGAACCTTTTGTTTGACTATTCTGGATTTTCATCAGTTACATTTGTACTGGCACTTATGGAAAGAGTTGCAAATAATGTAAATATAAAGACTGGAAAACTGCAATGCAGTTTTGGTGGAATAAAGAACATTAAAATATTTTTTCTGAGGGGTTATTTAAGTTTATGAAGAGACTACTTATTTAATATATCAATTTAATATATATGGTGAACTTGAAATATTTTTCCACTGAGAACTTCAGATTTGCAGATTTAGTTTTTTACAGTATTTGATTTTCATGTGGTTATCCACCCACTGTGAAAACCAGAAACCTGTGTGGATAAAGAGAGGGTAATAAAATATCCCAGTAGAAGAGAAAATACTTTGAAGTATAATATCATAAAACCAAGAGGTGTAATGCTTGTATTTGGCTTGTGACACATAATATTTACCTATTTAGGGATAATGTAAAGCACAATTGCTGCATCTTTCTTATTTAAAATCAAATTCTGCTGATAACATTTGGTACCGATTTGTCTCAGCTCTTTTATTGCAAGCTTGCATGATTGCTTTACAAAGAACCTAGTATGCAGTGAGGCTTTTGCAGTCAGGCCTAGAGTAATTGACACCACACATTGATTACTATGCCCAAATGATAATTATTGTGACTACTCAAGAGATCCCAATCTCCTCAGATTAGATGTTGTCTCTATCCTTTCTCTCAGTGTGGGCTTCATGAGCCCCTTAACTTCTGCGATAATAGACCTCTTGTGAGTTGTCTAAAGGCATAACTCAGAGATTTGACATCAAACAGCAAAACAGCTATTTCCTACTATAAGGAACTCTTCCCATCATGAAGACTCTGGTTGAGTGGAGAAGCTTGGAAGCTTTTCTAAAAACTGAAAAACCCAACTCTGAACCCATATAGGCAATAAGTGATGGTGTAAAAGCTTCGTAAGGGTCCGAAACTAAACTTTTAACTTTTAATCACAGAGTCATAGAATTGTTCTGGTTTGAAAAGACCTTTAAGATCATCGAGTCCAACCATAACCTAACTCTACTAACCATTAAACTAATCCTCTCAAGCCCAGTGCTTAAGCCGTGTTCCTAAGTACCACATCTACATGGCTTTCAAACACCTTCAGGGATGGTGATTCAACCAGCTCCCTAGGCAACCTGTTTCAGTGTTTAATTACCCTTTCAGGAAAGAAGTTTCTTCTAGTATCTAATCTAAACCTCCCTTGGCACAATTTTAGTCCACTTCCTCTTGTCACAGAATCATAGAATCACATAATGGTAGGGGCTGGAAGGTAGCTCTGGAGATCACCAAGTCCAACCCCCTGCTAGAGCGAGATCACCTAGGGCAGGTCACACAGAAACACATTGTGTGGCTTGTTACTCAGGAGAGCAACTCCTACGTTGCTATAGCCACCTTTCAGGTAGTTGTAGAGATCAATAAGGTCTCTCCTCAGCCTCCTTCAGGCTAAACAACTGCAGTTGCCTCATGATCCTCATAAGACTTGTTCTCCAGACACCAAACTGAACACACTACTTGAGGTGCAGACTTACTAGTGCCAAGTATACAGAGGAAGAATCACTTATCTAGTTCTGCTGGACACACTATTTCTGATACAAGCCAGGATGCTGTTGGCCTTCTTGGCCACCTGGCCACACTGCTGCCTCATATTCAGCCAGCTGTTGATCAACACCCCCAGGTCCCTCTCTGCTGGGCAGCTTTCCAGCCACTCATCCTGAAACCTGTAGCGCTGCCAGGGGTTGTTGTGGCCAAAGTGCAGAACCCGACATTTGGCCTTATTGAACTGTTCTTGGTGGGAATGGTGAAACTTCGTCAGTTTACGGAGGTATATTGTATTTTCCCAAGTAAAATAAGTGCACACATGATATCACTTGAATTCTTGCAGTTAATCCATGCACACAGCTGAAGGATGACACCAAACTGAGTGCCATGCTGCTGAGGGAACGAGCTTGTCCTCCACTTTCTGATATCCTCAGGCCAAGATGGACAGCAGTTCTACTGGCCCAATGCAATTTTAATGGAGAGTGGCAGAGTTATTGTCACTGCTTTGCTCAGAGAAGACTGAATTGAACAATTTTTCTAGTAATTTTTCATTCAAACTTGAAGGCATCACTAATAGTAACAATCTGAGAGAATTTTCTTTACAATTTTTATTATAATTCACTTTGAATAATAACAAGAAGCAATGATTGAATCACACTGTCTTTTCATCAAAATACTGATTTTTGGAGAAGAGACAAGGAACTTAAAGTCTTATTTGCATGAGAAAAAGCAGGGTGTTTCAGGCATGGCCTCTAGTTTATTAGACAAGAATTGAGCTAGAATCTCCCTGGACTCAAGAGATCCCAAAAACCTTACAGTATTGTGAAGACTAATGTGCTTTGAAAGAAAAGTAAGCTTTGTTTACATATGTGTAATATATTATTAGAAAAAATAGAGATGAATTCCAGACTGGTGTATGTTTGAAAGGAAAGAATGATGCTTAGAACTCTCAAAATTAAATTATATGCCTTTAAATTTGTGACAGAAATAAAATGCAGATGCCAATGGAAAAAACTCTGAGTAAGTCAGGGATGGGGAAAGAAGCCTATGCTCTTGACAGAGCAAGTGATCATGGAAATTACAAAAGCTGCTGGACATGACTAAAATATAAAATCTAAATAGAAGCCATCCTACAGCTCTGGAGGGAGAAATATAGGGCAAATTGTTCTAAACCAATAAGAAAGGAATCCAAGATAACATGAATGTGACAAAATGTATCATGAAGTATGCAGGTACAAACTTTAGAGCATACTTATCTCATTCATAATTAAAAAAAATAAATAAGCCAGACTGTAAAGCTATTCCAGATATTTGAGGCAAGCCCACATGGAAAGAGTCAGAAATGAGCTGTCTCAGACTTAGTAACATGCATCCTCTTTAGGTGAATAAAACACAGTCCTTTTTGTTTGTTTTAATTTCAGTTTTTCCAGCATAAGATGGTGAACTATGTTATCATTTCAGATTGGTAATACATATAGTGGGGAACAGGGAAGAGCAGAGGAAAGGGTCTAAGATGTCTTTAGTAGACTCTCTGGTGGATTAGGAACTGCATATTCCAAGGCATCTTTCCAGTTGGGGCTCTGCCCAGAATAGAAAGCCCTAAGCCAGAATCACAGTATGTGAAGCTGCTTCAGTAAATCTAGCTTATACAAGTGTTCAAGTTTATTAAGACTCCACTGCCTGAAAACTGCTTGGAATTATTGCTACAGCTGGATTATAACATTCTCTCACTGGTCCAGTACTCTTTCCTCCATGGAATTCTCATAACTTATGTCTACTCCATCACGATGATTGCTAGCTTTGAGCCAGAGAAGGCACATGTACCATAATATTTTTGTCATTTGGAATTTTTATTTTTAAATAAATGAAAAGTCCAATAATAGCTTGCAACATGATATTTGCAAAATATGTCAAGAAAGATGAGCTCTAGTAAAAACTTCCACTAGAAGAAGCTGTCTATATGCTAAATCTATCACTGTTATTACTTGTTAACTAAAGAAAATGCAATGGTTACAAAAAGATTTGGAGATGATCTTGAGATGTGATTCATTCCCTGCAAGATTTAGCATTTTCTCACACTGACAAAAGTTAGGTGAATTTATTTTACCTTCTGGCATAAAATCATGGGAAAGAAAGGACCTGGAGAATGGAGAAAAAAAATATGAGATTTGCTGAGGCACAACAAAATCAGTAACATCACAGCTATTAGCCAAAATACTCCAATTCCACCACATGTCTTAGGAAGTGCATTCTAGTATCAGGCTGCACTGTGTTTCTCTGGCTGTAGCCTTTGCTAAAAATAATATATGCTCTCTACCTGTTTACCATCTCCAGGTGCAAACACATATGTGAAAAAGGTGAGAAGAACATCTTGTTTTAATAGGCTGCCAGTCTGGAAAAACAGAGATTACAAGTGGAAGAAGAACAAATCTATTCACTTAATTGCCTTGCAATCCTCGAGATCCTGAGACTGATTGAATTAGGGCCATAACATGAAGTAAGGACTCCCACTGTTGCTTTTTCCCCCCAAATTTTAGACACATTTGTCAATATGAGTTTTATTGGGTCAATTCAAGCAGCTGTTCTTGATGAAGAGAGTTTGTGCTTTTTCTCATTTTAACAAACTTTATAATTTCAATGAAATCACTTATACTTTCTCTTCCATGTTCTATATATTCTGTATTTTGCCTGTGTAGAATCCAAAGGCACATTTAGATAGGTTGCAAACTGGTAGCAAACTGCTCTTGTGGGAATTGTCAATGACAATTTGTTATTATTTGGGAGATTTGTTGAAAAGGGTCTGCATAGAAATGAATACTGTCAAAGCCTATTAAATTTTTTTTATTTATGATTGGAGAGTATGAAGCTATTGTGGGTAACAATCATGTTAAGTAATCACAAATATGTAGTCATTATATGGGCTATTTTATGACTATTTTTAAGACACTTGCTTTAATATTAGCAAAAGTAAGGCTAGACATCTATGTAATATGTAATACAGAACATTGTCATGACAATTAAAGATTATATCCTGAAAAATCCAGGAAAAACTTTAGGTTCATATTAGGTGTGCTAAGAAGCTTTTTACTGAGATACAAAAATATCAGTACCTGTAGCTTATCTGCATAGCTTCAGTGTAGGTTTGTTGCTTAAATGGAGAGTGGTAAAGGAATAAAAATGTCTGGGAGTTGGAAAGTATATATTACAATGAGGGAATTAAAGTCCTCAGTCTGCCTAGTTAATTTTTAAAGGCTACCAACTAATGAATAGTTTTCCATGTTTAGCTGCTTTCCCAAGGGAAAGGCACAAAGGGACTTCATAAATTTGTATGGAGAAGTACAATGAAGACCAAAAGCTGGAAGCTGGTTTTATGCAGATTCAAATTTGGAATGGCCCTAAATCACTAATCATCTGTTCAAAAAGTTAATCTGCTAAGGTATGTTGGATTCTCTGGAAACATCAGGAAAGAATTAAAGATGGAGTTTTTTCTAGAAAATGTACTACATTAATTCATAAATTATTAGGCTTAGTAAGTACCTAAACATATTAAGATGTCTTGGCCTGTAGCACA